CCCAGAACGACCTCTCCCTGTTGAGAAGCTCATCATCAGAGGAGACTCTGGCTGTGGAGGAAGTCCTGGGCAGCTTTGACTTCCTGTCACATGACTTCAATGCAGATGATGACACTTCCTGTTTGGGCAGCCTGAGACTGAAGGACAGTGGGTGAGTTCACAGAACAGAATAATTAATAAAAAACACTGACTTCATGTGAAACAACTCATCTCTCCTTTTTCTCTTTACCCATTAGCATCAGTTCTTTCCAGCAGGGCACTCGCAGGAGTCTCGGCCTCTTCTCCCAGAACAGCCAATCAGCTTCTGAGGAAGAGCTGGTCATCGCCCCTCTCACTTCTGGGAACTGGGGTCTTGACCAGGCTATCGAGACTCACCTGGATATATGTTGCATCCTGCTACAGGTGAAGTTTTGTGTTGAAAGAAATAAGACTTCGCAGACAGCTAGACAAATCCAATCGCAGGTTGAGGTGTAATCCAGAGAAATAAAGATGAAACAACAGTAATAATAACAACAAGAGTCAGTAGCCATATCATGTTGTGTGTCCCGTAGTTTTGGGGTTGTGAGAGGGGTCTTCCACTCAGAAAGGGCTTTTGCCTTCAAAGTACTGATGGTTTTTCAGATCTGCAGGTAAATAATTAATAAAAGGTGACCCAACCTTCAGAAACAGCTCATGTTTTCTTTTTAAGACAACCTGTAACCTTTTCCTAGAGGAGGATATTAAAAATCTCTCTGTACCAGAGGAAGCCTTTGATCCAATTATGAAAGATGCATCTTCCAAGCAACTGAAAGAAGTTTGTAATGTGATGCAGAGAGAATCAGTTCCCTGGGCACGCCATTTATTATTTTAAATATCCCACAAATAACCTTGAAATAAATATCAAGAACCTGGAGATTAGTTTACATCACAATCCTGGCCCCCTTTCAGATTCTGGCTGAGAATGTGAATTGAGCTGCTGATTTTGCTCTGATATGTTCCAAAAATCTGCCAAAGACAAGTAGCGGACACAGACAGCCTGCCTACTCAGATCTATGGTACATTTTGGCATCTGTGGACCAGTTGTAGAAGCAGACGAGTCCAACACGTGCACATTTCTCACTCACTGAATGAACAAGCATCAGTTCATAAAAGTGAAAGCTGACCGATAACTACTCACAAGACTTTAAAAAGCTTCATTGACAGTCCTCTTATATAAAAGGTATTGACGGTGTGACTTTACATATTCTTTAAAAAACATTTTGTATGTTGTGATTTAAGTTGCAAATGCCACATTCATCTATCAGTAATGTATTATAGATCCATCAGTCCTGCGTCTTTTAATAAAAACTTAACATATGAAGTTTAGTAAATTATGTGTTAAACAATACAGAAAGTACATTTTTCTTATGCAGATTTAGTTGAATTTACGATGATGTCTAACTTAATTATTTCCCAGATGTAGAAATACAGGAAATGAGATTTAAATTGCAACTTTTTAAACCAAAGTTACACCTTTTGATCACAGGACAAAAACAATTCTAAATTACATCCTATACAACAATATTTCAAATATTCTCACTTTCTACAATATCTATGCATTGGGAAAGATTGTAGTTACTGTTAATAAAGATGAGTCTCTCAGAGATGAGTACTTCCTGCATTTGCACTGTGTGTTGGTATTTAATGTAAATGAGAAGCATCCTATCCTATAGGTACATTATCCCTAGGATTCGTCACAGCATTCAGGAACCCCTAGATGGCAGCACAAGCAGGATTTTCTGCCTGTGTGTAGTTACTCTTACAGGCAGGTATTATTAGGAGATTATTAGGAATCTGTTTCTGCCTGTGTCCACCCTCAAACTGTTTGTTAGAACCTAACAAATGCACATAATGTTTCCTCAGATGATAACTACGACCGACTTCAGCCCGTCCAGGAGGGAGCTGCTGGAGGAAATGGCTCTGCAGGCTGAAGTCCTGGACAGAGTCAGCTGTCTGCTGCTAGAGAAGAACGACAACATCTCAGCTAGAGACAGTAAGTGGAAGATCTGCCTGTCTGTCTTTAAGACAATCACAGTCTACAATCAATACAACAACATAACATACAAGGCACACTTTGAATGAGTGATAATGATAATGATTGGACGTCCTCCTCTCTTTACCTTCAGTCCTCCCGAAGGCCCAGAGAACGAGGGATGTGCTGTTGTTCTGGGAAGAGTGTGTGAACGAAAGCAGCTCTCCTTTCTGTTGCCGCTCTGACAGTTTCTCCAGGACGCTAAAGAAACGTTACACACACAAGGTGAAGGCCAAACAGCCGGGCCAGTCAGAAAAAGGTACAAAGTTCAAAAGCACTTCATTCCACCTTTCTTACGTACATACTTGAATTCTTGATGCTTATTTGTTTTGTGATCATTAGTTTCTTGTTTTTTGGAGTCGATACTTCTCAACATATCTCAACCGCTACTACTGTAGTTGATAAATTCCTACATTTCCCATAATGCCTTTTTGCAACTAAGATGATGAGCATTGCCTTCTTGCATCAGTTTGTGCAGAACTTCTATTATGTGCAGAGAGGAGACTCTCAACGTACCCATACGACCTGCAATGTGAGGGTCTCGTGATTGATGGGGGTTGCCCAGCTAGCATTACCTTACTGAGCTATTACAAGGTTATATAGACCACACTGACTGTGGCTTTACAATGTTTTATAAGTTGCTGTTGGCCGAACATTTCAGTAGGAACAAATTATAAAAAAATGTAATCTGTTTTGTCTTGTTTTCTGGCTGGCTGATGCATATTCAAGAATCTGAGAAATGTTGTGATATTACAATTGTAATTAATTAATTAATTTCAAAGTCATATTTACAGGTTTGCATCAATTTTCGTTATGGACATAAATGCCGTATTTTTCGGTGGTTGGCTTGCAATAAGTCTTTGTTAAAATCAAAGAATAAAGGCAACTCAGTAGGTTGATAACCTTCACTGTATGTACTGTCCCTTTGCTGTAGAGAGTTTTGCAGAGGGGAAAAATTCACCACCAAACAATAAAATGCAAACAGAACCTCAAAGTGCTAAATGTGGTTTTATAAGTATCTCAGGCATTAATAGCTGCTGGCACTGCACGCTGATCAAACACTGACAGTGTCTTCACTCGCTGACTGAGCTGGAAACCTTTTTCTCCGTCCTCTGCAGTGTTTTCTCAGCTCCTGCAGCAGCTCCAGACGGCCTGTCGGACGGCGCCCAGCCCTCGACCGGTCTGCAGCCCGGAGAGAGTCACCCTCTTCCAGCTCTCTGTGTATCTGAAACGCTGGAGCTTCCAGGAGCTGGGAGAGCACATCTTACGCCTCTCTAAAGAAGGTATAGCTATCATTTTTAAAACTCTACCGTCCATTCATCCAGTTACAAAAAAAACAAACACAAAGTGGAATCCATCCATTCAGATTGCTTTGGTTTTCTGTTTCAAGGTTTTCAGATTCTGAGATTTATTTCTCCACTCAAATACAATTATTGGGGTGGAGAATGGAATTTGGTTTGTGGTGTTCACAGCACTGAAAATTTAAATAAAATATAACAAATCAGCAGCAACATCTTTCTCCAGTGTCTGCAGTTTTCAAAGGGACTATTTCTGTGTGAAAACTGTTCACTCTGAGGTATTAATACTTTGTGCTTCACATACGAAGTTCCATTCATCTTTATTAAAATGAATCTTATGTGTCTTGTATTGAGATGTGTGTGTGTGTGTGTATTCGAGGAAGGGTATGCTGTTATAGTTCCACCAGAGAGCTTTAAGATCTGAAAACGTTCCAGACATTCCAGATTGCTAAAGGCATCTGAACCATCTGTCAACCTTACTGCCAAACGGTCGCACCAAACAAACTGGGCGTGTGTGTGTGTGTGT